TCAAAATGACGCTCCTCTTCTTTTCATAGTTATATATTCTAATCTCTTAACTCCCCTACATTCATCTGATAAAGTCTGGTTTATGATTTGATGAAGAAACAACTTATTCATTTCAGTAAATATACCGAATGTAAATATATATATAACATAGAAAACTATTTTAGTATTTGAGTAAGATGTATAATCCTTTTTTTAATCAAGCATTTTAAAAGGTGTTTACTGAAGTCAATAATCATAAATAATACATTTGTATTTGTTGTATTGGAAAATGAAACACATGTACAGAAGGCAGAAAGTTGTTTTACATTGAAGGTGTATTTTTTACACCCTTGTGCAAAAAATAAAATACAAAGAATGTCAGTTCAGTTGGCATCATATTCCCAAATCACTAAACCCCACAAGTTGTATGTCAATGATAACAATTTTCTTTAATCACTCTTTCTTTTCACACACACACACACACACACACACACACACACACACACACACACACACACACACACACACACACACACACACACACACACACACACACACACACACACACACACACACACACACACACACACACACACACACACACACACACACACACACACACGTATGTGCGTCCACACATTGAAACACAGATTTCTTCCCATCAAATGTAGTAAAATTGCATATAAAAACATCTTCAAGCAACATTTTCAAAAAGATGCATGTTAAAACAGTAGTGCTCAGTTTGGCAGCGTAAACCGAGTGTGTATGTGGGCCCATGCAGATTGAGCCAGTCAGAAAAAAAGATATAAACATTTATTCTGCAATACAGACATGGTGTCCCTATTTATCCTATTTTTTATTTCAGCATTGACCCCTCATATAAATGTATTTTATCTTCTGCTTTGTGAGTGTTTTTCAATGATAACCTGCTACTTCTGAATGTAAGACATGTTGATCTTTAGATGTATACTACATGTATTTTGTAGCTTTCAAAACATTTACTAAAATGATGGGAATGGTGTATAAAGATGTGTAATGCTCTAATCAACATATATTTTCTATTCTAACTCTTTAGCTGAAAAAACTATTCCCCAGGTTTGAAACTGAACTTTTTAATTTATTTTCTGTCAAATGTCTTTTTTTTTGTCTTTCTTTCTACCTTTCTTGGAAATTCAAATGAGAAGGAGTATGGGCAACCCCAGAGGATAGATTTTAAACAGACATATAATTGTGTTCAATATGAAGCCACAGCTGTCATTTCGTCCTTGTAAGTTGAGGAGAGTCGGCTAGTAAGAGCCAACTACAGCGTGAACATTTAGCAACTGCGTGTTTCCATTACCTTTTCTTTCAAAATGTTTTTGATTGACAGTGGCTGCTTTTTTATTCTTTTTACAAGGTTTGGTAATTCCATGCAAATAACAGCTGCAGTCAAAACAAAGCCACTGTCAACCCATCATGATGTTTCAAAGTTAAAACTAAACACCTGACTTTGATTTATTAGTGTTTTCGAAAACATTTGCTGCGGTGCTCGACTTCTTTAACCTTTCGTGCCTGTGAGCAACAACTTATGGATCAACATAAATGAATAAGACATTCCACGATTATTGCTTCCTCACTTGAGGCTGCATCAAAGCATTTTTATTTACTGCTTACTGAAGGTGTTTGTGAAAGTCATTTTGAGTGAGTCAACTGATCCAGAGGCTTAACACTTCATGCATTTTTTAAGTAACACTTTTCCAACTTATTTGTTGCGGAAAGAACATTTTCTGAACACTCAACCTACCTGTGTGGGACTAACGCCTCCACAAAGATGAATTACTTGTCAACATGACCTTTCAAGCTTTGGATTAATTGGTGGTATTTAAAGTCTTTGCACACCGTGTATTTCAAAGATACACTATGACAGCAGCAATTAATCATGTTCAATCAATTCAGAACATCTCCTAGCATAAAAATAAGCAGGAGGAAATCAGAGAATGCAGACCATTGCCAAAAGCCCCATTTTTCAGTGGTAATGAAAGGGAAACAAATATGTGTATCTCCCAATGAATTACTGCTGGAGGTCACATCTGAACAACATCTGGAATAAGGAATTGAATGTGTCACATGTATATGGATATGAAGGTATACTGCTTATTAGTCTTATTTTTAGCAGCTTGTGTCACAAAAAGTGTTGAGTCACATGTTTGACATGTTCAACAAGCTACATTAATGATCTGCATAGAAAACGTTCTTTCGAAACAGTCTGCTTCTCCTTTTAATTTGAATAATACATTAAATGCTTCCAAATAAAAAGGAAAGGCTTCTTTATTTGCATGTAGGATAATGATGGGTTCTACAACATGTTGGCATATATGATCAATGTGACAAGCTTAAATACAGCTTTTGCAACAAATTACATTTAGTTTTTTAGTCTTTGGTGATGCTTTTGAAATTAGAATAAAGAAGCCTGAGCCTTTCATTAGTAAATGTTACTAATACTTGTGTAAATCAGATGTTCAATTCCACAGCCTTCATCCACTACTCTCTCCTTTCAAACAAAATAGCGTGTTACAGTTTCTAATGTGGCTTGACACATAATTACAACACTTCAGTTAGAGTAGACTGAACAAAAGATTTGACAATTGCACAGAATATTATCTCCTGTAAATCTAATAGTCACTGTCATTTGGTCATTTAGAAGTACGTTAGAAATTGTCGATACTGGGCAAATAGTGTTGGTTGAGAGGTTGGAACCGAAATTACGGTTACAAACACTAAACAATAAAATACTGTTGATTATGTGCTTCTCTCAGTCTTTTCAGCATTGTGCAATTATCAAAAAATTGCCTCATGGGATAATTTATGTGCACATACGCATCAGAAAATCAATGCAGCAGAAAAGAAGGATCGATCCTCACTTGATACACCATACGACCAGAATTTGAAGCAGACATGAGACTAGAAAGTCACCCTTTTTTTAAATGGAGGGGCTGGGGATACCAGGTCCAGGATAAAGAGATCAATGCGCTGCTTTTCTCTACAAGTTTTTCAATGGATGTGAGAGAGGAGTTTCTGAAAAGGTACAGTGGCCAAAGGGAAGTTGTTCTACATAAAAGTATACAAATTAAATGCGAAGCACATTTATAGTGGGTAAAATATGTAGCAAGGTAAAAGTATATACAAAAATTAAACAGATTACACGAAATAAATTAAATATGCTTTCATGTGTCCCAATAATGTGCAACATAAACCCAAATCACGCTCACATGACATGCTTACGTCATCTTTTTTTTATCACAATAGGCTGTGAAAGGCAAAAGGCACCAGATATCCTTCATCATGCCGAACATTACATTTGAGTTCCAGCTGATTCATGTGGGACATGTGACATGTCATGCTTTTCCGGTTAATACCCGTCCCCTTGTGTGTTATGAAGGTTTTTATGCATGTAAACGGTGTGCAGAGTCAAAACCCTCAAAGTACACCATGTAGGGAGTACAACTCTAAAACAGAAAATAGAGCTGCAACGAGCCGTTTAGTGGAGAGAGTGAATACACGTAGTTTACAGAGATGCTGTATGCGAAACCAATGTGAATTTGGAAAACTGCACAGTATAAATCTATTCTAGTAGACCTCAACAATGGAATTATGATCAGTGGAAATGGCCATGACATGTGACCTTTAAGATGTCTATATTAAAACAAAGAAAACTGAAAATATACATTGTCATTCACATCATATTCGTGTTTGCATTGTTTGAAATAAAAGGGTGTGTAAAAAACAAAAATCGAATTTTTGTTTTTGATAACTGCATGAATTATTTTTTTCATGATCATTTATTTTTCTAATTTTCGTGATAAGGTGAAGGGGAAGTTTGATTGTATGCACGGTTCGTATCAGAAAGAAAAACATGAAATTGTTAAATTTAGTCTGCAGTTTTCTAATAATGCATTTCATTTAACTTTTTTCAATTTGTTTTAATTGGGTCATTTTAAAACCTTCAATAAGATTGTTAATACTATAATGATTACAAAATATGAAACAAATTAAAGGTATAATTAGAGGAAAAACGTCACCCTAAAACATTGGCCCTCTTTACTCCTTCCATTTTCGATATTTTGTGGAGTATTTGACTTTCTGATAACTGGCCAGTGTGGTTAAGGTTTGGGCGTAATATTTCAATCTCTGCTACGGTGAAGATGACAGTGAATATCAGATTAGGGTGAACATTCTTCATAATCAAAAGGAGCAGGTTTTTCAGGCAGCTCCAACTAAAGCTTCAATAATACAGCATGTGTTACTGTCACATACATTTTGAGTAGGGGGAGGATATTGATAAAAACACTCACCTTCACAAACACAAATCATAAATAACAAATTAAAGTGGTTACACACAAAACTAGAATATTAAAAGAACAAACCCAATGGAATTAATAGGAATTAATGTTATATAAAAGGTTTGACACATTTCCAAAGGGTCGATATTGCATGAATATAAATAAATCGTTATTGGCTCTCTTAGGGATTTAATTTCTTAGCCAAATAATGATTGTGTGACCCAAGTCAGAGATTCTACAGAATACCAATCCTACCCAGTGGGATATCACTGATAAAGGTCTTTGTTGTGCAGGGTCAACACTGCAGTCTGGGTTTAAGTCTGATTCGTGTTTAAAGCGATCGTGACCGTGTACTTTGAAAACTTTAAACAAGGGATTAAAGATGGATAATAAATGTTAAGCAGAATCTGAAGCCTCAAAGCACCACCGTTAATGAAGTGGCCACATTACATTCTTATAAAGGAACACAATCAGTGCGTCCAGATTGTAATCAAACAACCATGAGAATTCAGAATGGAGTGAGGAAATCCAGCACTCAAACTACAGCGATAAGACACGAATGTGGATAATATGCTTAACTAATTATGTGTGTGTGACTTCGTGCTTCCAGTGCTAAACAGACTAATTCATTGGTTCTTAACTGCATAATATACATTTATCAGGCACTTGTCATAAAAAAAACAAATAAAATGGACTCTCTTAAATTTGATGGACAGGTCCAATGATTTTATTCTGATCTCATTCTCCCAGCATTTAACTACCCTATATATGCTCTGAGCCTCTCAACTCCGTTCTGCATTCCACTTCATGCTGTTCATTTTCTAAGGACAAAGAGGGGCACCACTTGGAATTGCTCTCTATTGCTTTGATCTTAGAGATTGGAAGTCACTCTCCTTATGACAAATACAAGGCTTTGTTTGTGTGTGGCTGAGTTGATGATCTGTGTGTCAGAAGCTGGACTCGGGGACTGTCCTTTTGCGTCCAAGCGAGGTTGTGCTGTATCGAGTCCTCTGCAGGGTGCCGTACGACGGTTTGTCTGTTGCCAGGCTGCGTGATGGGGCTGTAGACATCCCATTGCGATGCAGGGAAGCTGTCCTACGCATGCTCTGTACCGCTTTGATGGGGATGTTGGAGGAGCTCTGGGAGCGCTTGATATCCGCCGTTGTCCGTCCCACCTTCCCATTTGCCAGCTCGTCGCCCCGGTGGCCCGAGCCATTAGACTTGCCTACTTCCGGTTCAGTCCGTCCTCCTGCTGCTGCTGCTGCTCCATTTGACAGCGACGACTTAGAGAGCGTCCTTCTGCCTCCTTCCTCACCGGCTCCTATTCCTGATTCACCCTCCTTTGACTTCCTTGAGTCCCTATCCTTCTTCAGGAAACTACCTTTAAAGAAGGAGAGCAGTCCTTCATGGTTCCTAGGCACTTCTTCTTTCTTAGTCTTAGAGTTTCCTTCGTATGCACCTTGTTGTTCCCTATCAGCCCTGTCCCCTTTTTGTCTTCTCAGGGTCCCATCCTGAAGGCTAGGAGTGCTGCAGCTGGACTGAACACCAGCACTGGAACTCCTTTTTGTCTCAGTATCCTGGCAAGCTTTGGAGGAGCTTTCCTTCCTGTCATCTTTCCTCCTGGTGAGAGTGTTACTGCTAGAGCTACTGCTGATATTTGTCGTCCTGTCGTCTCTTGGCTGGCTCCCCTTACTGCGTCTCAAGCTTGCTGTCTTATCTGACGGCCTCCTCTGGCCCTCGGGTACCTTTGTAGACTCAAGCAGCAGCCCATCTCCTGCCTTATTTAAACAACTTAAACTTCCAACACTGGAAGATCGAACATTAGCGGAAGCCCGGCCCTCAGAAGCTTCCCTTGCGCTGCGTGGCTCGCTGATCAACGTTGCTATTGGATCTTTTGTGCACCGGGGCCGCCGGCCAGACTCCAAGTACTGTACCAGCTCCACAGGGGCAGGGTCTTGGACAGCCGGGGGCACTGGGTCAGGTTTCCGTCTGTCCTTTGAACCAAAGGACCAGCGCAGGGGGAAAACTTTGCTCAGTGTTTCCCTGGTCTTGCTGGGTGCTCTCATGCTCACACTCCTTCCCTGAAGACCTCTGATCAAAGGCCTGCTATCAAAACCCCCTAACAATTATGAAGAGAGGGGAAATGTTTTAGTTTTTCAATTTAAATGTGACATCTTTAACTAAACCATACAAACTATGTGCAATATGTGCAATATATACCTGGCTGCTAAATCCTCAGAACTGTTACAGGATGTATATTTTGTAAAATGTGTAACTTTTTTAATTATATATATTTTTTTATCTTTAGTACTTTTTTATGCATGCTTAGGTAACATTAAGCTGTCTTTGGCTCTTTTCTCTTTTTCTGCTGTAACAATGTAAATGTCCCCTCTGTGGGACCAATACAGTTATTCTGATTCTGATTCTAAACAACCAATAAGGTAGTGAACTCATTAGGGCAAATACTGAGTGGAGCCCCTTACCTCTTTCTTCTTTTGAACCGTTTTCAAAGAAGACCGGAGACTCGGGTGAGTCAGGTAAGGAGGATGGGCAGGTGGTGGAGGATCGAGAGACCATACTGCCTCTCTGACTGTCCCCTGTCAGCCGTATCAGCCAGTGGTCTGACATTGATGAACTTGTGGATCCTGTAAGACACACATAATGAAAAAAAGGGTCAGAGGGAGAACATAAAACATAAACCAGTGACCATCTCGGGATTGTATCACACACAGTCCCAATATAGGGCTTATGACTAAAAGCAGGCAAGCAAATTACCTTTTGATCATCCTTTCACCACTTTCCTATCCCTACACGTCCCCCATCCTTCCTCCACACCTACATTTAAACTCTGCGCTCATTTGGATCTCAACTACACATCTGTACAGCTTTGTGATTGTATCAGGCCCAGTGGCTATTGTAGTAACAAAAACCGTCAACGGACAGACAGTACTTGAGTTCCTCAGGGGTTTCTCCAGGACCACATGTTGCCATGATGACACAGGCTGAAACTAACAAGATATAAACAATACCTGCATTGCTGTGGGTTAAGAGTATTCCACCCATACCTCATTCACACCAACGCAACTCCGGTTCAAGCTCCGTGCTAGAGCTTTTCAGGTTCAGAACCGGTTCTTCGGTTTAGCGGAGGCTCTTTTCACACCGCCCAGAGTCCGACTGGTGCTGCGTCATTGCGTCATCGTTTGCGTCATGACGTAACCGTTTGCGTGCCTGCTTCATAAAGCCAAACCGTGCGGAAACCCCTCACAGCTGACGCCGACAACAACAACAATGGCCGATTGTGCTCCAGCTTCCTCTGTAACTCTTCGGAAGACCAGATTCCCAGTAGGTAGCTGGTCTCTTCAGTGGACCACTGCTGCTTGTTAAGTTTCTCCATCGTTGTGTACAAGCTGGATAAAACGCGGGCTTCTTGTTGTTGTTCAGGAGTTGATCCCGCCCCTGCCCCTGCCCTCGCCTCGATGTAAGCGTGATGTATGTGGTGCTTTTGCTCTGGCCGGACAATTTTTTGGTGCTTGAAACAAACCGGATTCCGGAGCTAAGAGGCTGCTCCGCTGCGGTGTGAAGAGGAAAACCCGGTGCTTTTCAAGCTCCAGCTCCGAACCGGCCCCGAAACACCGTTGGTGTGAATGAGGTACAAGTGAGCATTGCACTACTACAGTTGCAAGAAAAAGCATGTGAACCCTTTGGAATTAACTGGATTTCTGCATAAATTGGTCATAAAATGTGTTCTGATCTTCATCTAAGTCACAACAATAGACAAACACAGTCTGCTTAAACTAATGCCACACAAACAATTATATGTTTTCATGTTTTTATTGAACACACCATGTAAACATTGACAGTGCAGGGTGGAAAAAGTATGTGAACCCCTAGGCTAAAGACTTCTTCAAGAGCTAATTGGAGTCAGGAGTCAGCCAACCTGGAGTCCAATCAATGAGACGAGATTGGAGGTGTTGGTTAAAGCTGCCCTGCCCTATAAAAAATACACACCAGTTTTGAATTTGCTATTCTTAAGAAGCATTGCCAGATGTGAACCATGCCTCGCACAAAAGAGCTCTCAGAAGACCTACGATTAAGAATTGTTGACTTGCATAAAGCTGGAAAGGGTTACAAAAGTATCTCTAAAAGCCTTGATGTTCATCAGTCCACAGACAAATTGTCGATAAATGGAGAAAGTTCAGCACTGTTGCTACTCTCCCTAGGAGTGGCCGTCCTGTAAAGATGACTGCAAGAGCACAGCGCAGAATGCTCAATGAGGTGAAGAAGAATCCTAGAGTGTCAGCTAGAGACTTAAAGAAATCTCTGGCACATGCTAACATCTCTGTTGACGAATCTACGATATGTAAAACACTGAACAAGAATGGAGTTCATGGGAGGACACCACGGAGGAAGCCACTGCTGTCTAGAAAAAACATTGCTGCACGTTTGAAGTTTGCAAAAGAGCACCTGGATGTTCCACAGCACTACTGGCAAAATATTCTGTGGACAGATGAAACCAAAGTTGAGTTGTTTGGAAGGAACACACAACGCTATGTGTGGAGAATCCAAAGGGTTCACATACTTTTTCTTGCAACTGTATATTGTTGGACTCATTTATAAAACATAAACCACCAACAGTTTGTTTGGAGATTTTAATGTGGTCAACTTGTAGCTGTTCATGTAGCCTCAAGCTGCTAACCTTAACCAGAAATGAGGAATAGAGCGATGTGGTAAGCTTATTGTTTTTGAGTCCACACCTACAGGATTTTTTCATTTGCAAAGCTTTGTTTAGAGCCACAACCGGCATATACAACTTTATTAACACATGCAGCAGCCGAACTCCCTAACAGGGCAACAGGTTGTTTTCATATCCACCAACACATAAAGCCTTTTAGTCAAAGTTTTGTATTGCCAGAGGTTAGCATTTGTGCTGAAAGTAGAGAGGGAAACAACTCTTTGTGTGGGCTGTTTTGGGTCAGGCTAATTGAGCAGAATGTGCTGTGTTGTTTGCAAACCATTTTTTTTTTTAAATGTAAAAAAAACCAATGTTTTTTTCTTCTTTTATTTCTGCCTCCTGCCTTATTACCATATGTTCTCCAGCTTGTAAAAAGAAAATTGATGGACGGCTGCCATCATTGAGATGTTCCAATCCCCTAATGAAGCATATCTGTCTCTCCTCCAGATGCAGAGGAAGTCAGGACTAAGCCACAAACCACTATGGGGGGCACTTACAAATATAGTGCAAGATCTAAATGCCAGGGGATGTACAAACATAACATTTGGTGAAGAAACAACTGTCAACGACTGTTACCTGCAACTCAATTACTCAGAAAAAGTATTATACACTGCAACTGTGTTTTTCTATACTCTGATTATATATATCCATCCATCTTCTCCCGCTTATCCGTGGTCTGGTCGCAGGGGTAGCAGTTCCAGCAGAGAGCCCCAAACTTTCTTTTCCCTGGCCACATCAACCAGCTCTGACTGGGGGATCCCAAGGCGCTCCCAGGCCAGCGAAGAGATATAATCCCTCCACCTGGTCCTAGGTCTACCCCTTGGTCTCTTCCCAGCTGGACGTGCCTGGAACACCTCCCTAGGGAGGCGCCCAGGTGGCATCCTAACTAGGTGCCCGAACCACCTCAGCTGGCTCCTTTCGACACGAAGGAGGAGCGGTTCAACTCCGAGTCCCTCCCGGATGACTGAACTTCTCACCTTATCCCTAAGGGAGACACCAGCCACCCTGCGGAGAAAAACCCATCTCGGCCGCTTGTATCGGCGATCTCGTTCTTTCGGTCATGACCCATCCTTCATGACCATAGGTGAGGGTAGGAACGAAAATGGCCCGGAAGACAGAGAGCGTTGCCTTCTGGCTCAGCTCCCTTTTCGTCACAACGGTGCGGTAAAGCGACTGCAGTACCGCTCCCACTGCTCCGATTCTCCGGCCCATCTCACGCTCCATTGTTCCCTCACTCGAGAACAAGACCCCAAGATACTTGAACTCCTTCACTTGGGGTAAGGACTCATTCCCTACTTGGAGTGGACAGTCGATCGGTTTCCTGCTGAGAACCATGGCCTCAGATTTGGAGGTGCTGATCCTCATCCCAGCCGCTTCACACTCGGTTGCGAACCGATCCAGTGAGTGCTGAAGGTCGCAGACCGATGAAGCCATTAGAACCACATCATCTGCAAAAAGCAGTGGTGCAATCCTTAGTCCACCGAACTGCAGACCCCCTCCCCCACGACTACGCCTCGAAATCCGACCATGTATATTACAAACAGGATTGGTGACAAAGCGCAGCCCTGGCGGAGGCCAACCCTCACCGGAAATGGGTCCGACTTACTGCCGAGGACTCGGATACAGCTCTCGCTTTGGCAGTACAGAGATTGGATGGCCCTGAGTAGAGATCCCCTCACCCCATACTCCCGCAGCACCTCCCACAGTAACTCCCTGGGAACTCGGTCATACGCCTTCTCCAAGTCTACAAAACACATGTAGACCGGATAAGCGTACTCCCAGGCCCCCTCCAGGATCCTTGCAAGAGTAAAAAGCTGATCCGTCGTTCCACGACCAGGACGGAATCCGCATTGTTCCTCCTCAATCTGAGTTTCGACAATCGGCCTGACCCTCCTTTCGAGTACCTTAGAGTAAACTTTCCCGGGGAGGCTGAGTAGTGTGATGCCTCTGTAATTGGCACACACCCTCTGATCCCCCTTTTTGAAAAGGGGAACCACCACCCCGGTCTGCCACTCCTTCGGTACTGTTTCCGACTTCCACGCAACGTTGATGAGAAGTGTCAACCATGACAGTCCCTCAACACCCAGAGCCTTCAGCATTTCTGGGCGGATCTCATCCACCCCCGGGGCTTTGCCACTGTGGAGTTGTTTGACGACCTCAGTGACCTCCCTCCGGGAGATTGGTGTTGATCCCCCGTCATACTCCAGCTCTGCCTCTAACATAGAGGGCGGAGTTGTCGGGTTCAGGAGTTCCTCAAAGTGTTCCTTCCAACGCCCTAACACTCCATCAGTTGAGGTCAACAACGTCCCATCCTTACTGTACACAGTTTGGATGGTCCCCTGCTTCCCCCTCCTGAGGTGTCGGACAGTTTTCCAGAACAACTTTGGTGCCGCCCGAAAGTCCTTTTCCATGTCTTCTCCGAACTTTTCCCACACCCGCTGCTTTGCCTCGGCCACGGCTGAGGCTGCTGCCCTTCGGGCCTGTCGGTACCTTGCAACTGCCTCGGGAGTCCCCCGGGATAACAAATCCCTGAAGGCCTCCTTCTTCAGTCGGACGGCTTCCCTGACCACCGGTGTCCACCAGGAGGTTCGAGGGTTACCGCCCCTTGAGGCACCTAAGACCTTGAGACCACAGCTCCCCGCCGCGGCTTCGGCAATAGAGGCTTTGAACACCGACCACTCTGGTTCAATGTCCCCAACCTCCACAGGAATGCCCGAAAAGCTCCGCCAGAGGTGTGAGTTGAAGGCCTCCTGAACTTGGGCCTCCTCCAGACGTTCCCAGTTCACCCGAACTACACGTTTGGGCTTACCAGGTCTATCCAGAGGCTTCCCCCGCCACTCGACCCAACTCACCACCAGATGGTGATCAGTTGACAACTCCGCACCTCTCTTTACCCGAGTGTCCAAAACATACGGCCTCAGGTCCGATGATACGATAGCGAAAACGATAATGGACCTTCTGCCTAGGGTGCTCTGGTACCACGTACACTTATGAGCATCCTTATGTTCGAACATGGTGTTTGTTATGGCCAATCCATGACTAGCACAGAAGTCCATTAACAAACCACTACTCCGGTTCAGATCAGGGGGGCCGTTCCTCCCAATCACGCCCCTCCAAGTGTCTCCATCATCCATCTCCATCTCCCACATGTGCGTTGAAGTCTCCCAGCAAGATTAAAGAGTCCCCTTCAGGAGCCCCATACAGGACTCTTTCCAGGGTCTCCAAGAAGGCCGTATACTCCGAACTGCTGTTTGGTGCATAAGCACACACAACAGTCAGAGTTTTCCCCCCCATAACCGGCAGGCATAGGGAGGCGACCCTCTCGTCCACTGGGGTAAACTCCAACAACAAAGCACCCAACCGGGGACTTGTGAGTATCCCCACACCCGCCCGGCGCCTCACACCTTGAGCAACTCCGGAGAAGAATAGAGTCCAACCCCTATCCAGAAGTAAGGTTCCAGAGCCGACGCTGTGCGTAGAGGTGAGCCCAACCAGATCCAACTTGTAACGCTCCACCTCCCGCACAAGCTCCGGCTCCTTCTCCCCCAGAGAGGTGACGTTCCACGTCCCCAAAGCCAGCTTCTGTCGCCCGGGTCTGGTCCATTGAGACCCTCTGCTTTCACTGCCACCCTTCTGGCAGCGCAGCCGACCCCATCGCTGTTTCCCGTAGGTGGTGGGCCCGCGGGACGGAGAAGCGGAGGTGTTGCCCACGTTGCCTTTTCGGGCTGTGCCCGGCCAGGCTCCGTGGCAAGCCCGGCCACCAGACGCTCGCCGACGAGTCCTCCTTCTGGGCCTGGCTCCAGAAGGGGACCCCGGGCTTCCTCCGGGCCGGGTATCCTCACTTCCTAGTTTTTCTTTCATGAGGTCTTTTGAATTGATTATATATATATTATATCAATAATTTGATTAGCAGACAGTGCCTCATGCTCAGAGGCGGCAATGGCTCAGTCTGTAGGGACATGGTCTTGGAACTGAAGGGTCACCGGTTCACGTCCCGATCGGACCAAAAATAAATATGGAGTTGGAGCTGGAGATGTGCCAGTTCATCTCGAAGACCACTGCCGAGGTGCCCTTGAGCAAGGCACCTAACCTCAAAACTGCTCTCTTGGCACCGGGTACCTGGCAGCCTCTCTGCTATCTGCATGTGGTTGTGTGTATATCCTCCCCTGTGTGTGTAATGTGTGTGAAACACAACAGAGTAGGGAAAGACATTTCCCTGTAAGAGATTAATAAAGCATGTCTTCCTCTTCTCCAAATGAACACAAATAATGCTGTATTTCATTAACACAATGCTTATCATAGACTTTGACAACAACCTTATATGACGTTCTTTGGAGACTAACTTAATTGCTAATATAATATAATTGTTATGTATTGATTGATTAAGGTGTAATAAATAATGTTGTTATGCGAGTGTCATTTACTGTAGTCTAGCTTCAAATAAAAAAAGGACTGATTAGGTTTTTATAGGTTGTTTATTGTGCATGCATGGGCACACTGCAGGACTCAAATAGCCCGATTTAAAAAGACAAAATGCATATTATTGTCAACCTTTTAATGTTTTGTTGTTTGTAGTATATTATAAAGCTAACTATTATGAAGAAATGCAGTTTTCCAGAGAGGAGGAGACTAAACAAACTGTTGTCCATCATGATAACCCCCCCCCCCCCTTGTTGACTAAATAATCAACAATCAAAGTAGGAAAATTATCCTTTTATATTATTATACAGCGAATGTTTAACACAGAAGAACTCAGCAGTCACCACATTTGGATGTTACTAAACAGTGAGAAAAGCAATGAAAAATGAATATCTTGTGCTCATGTTGGAACCTATTGCTCACAATGCAAGAGTCTGTGATGTTGTGCTTGGATGTAACTCATCTGTAATGTTAATACAAGGGTTGAGGTTGAGAAATACAAGATGGCACAAATAATTGTTCAGTTTCAAGAGGAAATGTTCCGAGCCTTTACCTGAGGAAACAAGTTTTCAACTCAAAGCTGTTTAGTGTTTCTTCGTTCAGGAAGGATAAACTGATCTAGGGAGAGTACATTATGTGAAGAAAATATGTGCCCTTTAAATGCAGGAGCTAAAAATAGGGCTCTCTCGGACATGCGCTATATGGAACACAGACAGTTCATAATGATAAAGGTAAAACCTAACAAATAAGAGGCCTTCTGACATTTGTGGTCTCTATGTGGGCTTGCCCTCCGCTGAGCAGCCATGGCCGGTTAATAATGTTACAAATCTGCTGACATTTATTATCATGTACTGTCATACCAGAGAACGAAAAAAAAAATCCTCCAGACTACCCTAACCTTAAAGATCACCTGAATGTGTCCTCTATATGCCGGCCTGCATTTTGTCTGATATTTAACTCATTTCTGAGTACATTTTTTTGAAGCACAGCACACCACTTTGGCCAGATGCACCGTGCACAAAATGGATTTAAAAACAATTGTAAGTATGCGCTGTAAGGGTCTTATATGTTTGATATGTGCCGTGGTTAAAGTGATTCTTTTAAAATTATCACTGGAATAATTGTTTCGCTATTGGAGCCACATTTCAATGACTAAAATGTCAGGACGAAGGGCACCATCTGCCCTGTGGAGCAGAAACCTATACCAGCTACTGAGCTACAAGTATTGTTAAATTGTACAATTTTGTAAGTAGGGTTATATTTTCTTTATGAGGTTAGATTATACATTTCTTTCAGTCTAAATAATTGCTTTAAACTATGGAGAACACAGTTTACTGCTCCTACTGTGTTCCTTTTAAATGTTCTGTTTTTGAATAATTAATCCACAACAATTTAGTGACTCTTTTTGTTTCCTACAGCTAAACTAATTCCACTAAGTGTTTCACAGTAACAGACACATATCACACCACTAGTCAACACTTTGCAATGTGTGCACTAATCAGTGGGTTTAGCACTGCAGTAAGAAAGCATTGCTAATGAAGATGACCTTCTCACAACCGTTTTTGAATAGCTTCTTTTGAGCAATCAGTTTCTTTGTTGTTCCATGAATATAATTGAAGGTATTTAGAAATGGACAGACTCATGCTATGCCTGCAAGAAAGCAGTCGTATTGTTAATCGAGCTCAGAATGTTGTTGAAAAGTAAATGTTTACAACCATCCAGGATTATTTCTATTTCACTAAGTGGTTTTAGTTTAAGATCAAAGCTTGTTTAAACATTTTCTCAAAGCCAATCGAAGACTCCGCTATTTTCCATAGGTCCCGCCTACATTAGTTAAATCTTTACTAGTAGTATTGAGATCTTTTGATAAGAATCGATCAATGTTATTGGGTTAAACAATTATTATTGATAGTCGATTAATCAATTATTAGACTACTTTTTCAAATGCAGCAATCATGAAAGCCCTACTATACGGTATGTGTTGATGGTAACATCTGTGAAGATGTATATGTGACCCGCTCTATCGAAATCAGTCGGAAGTCGCAACGGCTCATTTCAAAATAAACGTGGATTTGCGTAAAAAACTATTTTATATAAGTCTTGGCTTTCAGAATATGAAACTTTTATTTCCAAACTCACACGATAAATACATTCTTTAAGCTTGTAAAGGGAAGATGACAGGCAATCTGCTCTTCCGCAGCGCTGCCCCCCCCTCCCTCCGGCTGACATTATGAATGTAAGCGTAGAGTAATCATAAATAACACGGCAGGGTCCGTTACAGTTTGTTTTCATCTGATTTCAATTAAACAAAGTCTTGGCTTTCAGAATATTAAACTTGTTTCGGCAAATTCAGATGATAAATACAACTTTGAAGCTTGTAACGGCATAATTACAAGCGGAGAACGGAGTAATTTAACGTCACAGCAGGGATAACAACATTGGTGAATGTTTATTCTGCTTATTTATTCGGCATTTTTCATCAGAATCTGTCTCTTATCTGCAACTCTCAGAAAGCTCAGGGATAATATGAGAAGTGTGTGAAGTGAAAACATTAAAGGTCCCCTATTATACTGTTTTTCATCAATATATTATAGGTCTCAGATATATACAAAACATGTCTCTGAAGTGTTTGGCTCCAAATAACAAACAGATCATGCATTGTAGCATCCCATAAACCCCTCTGTTTCAGCCCTGTTTCAAAAGTGCTGATTCTCTGTCTGTTACTTTAGATGAAAATAAGGAGCCACTCCCCACGCCTCTCTGAGAGATATTTGGTTAAAAAGAACACAATGGTGCTCTAGGAGGAGATTCAGGTGATAAGGGGGGGGGTACCTTGATTGGTTATTGGCTAATGGTTACACAAGCCAAAAAACCTTTATGACATCATAAAGTGGCCAAAGTCTGATCAGCTCATTTTCAGACAGGTTTTTATATAAATGGATCAGGACAAAAAGTGAGTGAATATTTTTTCCTGAAACTTTCAGAATCTCTTTACACATGGTTATGTATAAAAGACATGAACAAGTGGATTTTGCATAATACTGTAGGTCCCCTTTAATTAAAACATTTTTATAAATAACACCATTTTGTACCCATTATCTCCTGTTTGCTAGTAGTTTGATGACGTACCTCTGACAGAGCAACTGGCCGACCACGGAGGAATGAGGTTGCGTCTCTGGTAGAAAAGAATGTACGCTCCTCTGGTGCAAACCTCTTCCTCAGGCACCAAGTCTACGCTGCTGTCATCGTAGCTGTACCACTGTCCGTCCACTGAGTTCCTACAGTAGGCTGGAAGAGGAAATGACAACAAATATGAACAAAGGGTACCGGAACATACTGTATGTAGCCATTATGACAAAGTGATCACATCTGGTATCATAGATAGATAGAATCGGAGGGATGAAACCCCTCTTTAATGGTCACACATGCAGAGCACACAGCACACACAGTGAAATGTGTTCTCTGCTTTTAACCCATCCTAGTACCAGGAGTCTAGTAATAGGAGCAGTGGGCAGCTATTGTACAGCGCCCGGGGAGCAGTGGGGGGGGGGAATGGGGTTGTCCGGTGCCTTGCTCAAGGGCACCACGGCAGGGCCCAGGAGGTGAACTGGGACCTCATCATGTATTATATCATGTATAATACTTTATAGAAATTCAAAGATGGTTTCATCATCAGATTTGTTCAACTATTTTGTCAGAAAGAGGCTTAGATATTTGATATCACAATATTCTATATACATAAATGGTAAATACATAAAGGAAATGGTCCAATAACCCTCATACAGCAGGTGAGACTTCAGAGTGAAACATTGCTGCTGTCTGTTTGTTATCCGTCAACCTGCCAGCCAATAGCAGATGGACACACTATCATTTCTATAGTTAACTTTTATTTCAGTGAGATCATGCATCCCCCCACTGTGTCCGTGATGTTATTGTTCCTCCAACTTCCCTCTCGAGATGCATGCAACTGTCAGGCAAGCTGTCATGGAGACGGCTGCTCCACTGGCTCATCTCTTGCTGTTTCCAATACTTCGAAATCTCTAGCCTCATCACTGTGTGTCTCTCTTTACTAGCTACCCCCCTTCAGTTACAGAGCATCTTGCCTTTACTGTGTGTCAAGTTCCCATCTTAACAGTCACCTAAAGTGGCCATTGTCAAACACTGAAGAAATGTAAAACTAGACTAGAGACGGAAATGACTGCCTAAGAATGTGGCCGTGTTTTTTTTGTAGTCATTGTAATAAATTGTTCTATTATTATTGTAAGTATAGATGTACATTTAATTGAATGGTTTAAAGTAACAAAGTGTAATATGAGATAATAAAATATATCACCTAAGGAAAGCAAAGGGTTTCTCTAATAAATGTTATTTTGTCTGAGCATCTTCCACATATTGTAATTTTCACTAATCTAAAAATGTACTCAAGCTTAATATTGTATTATTATTGTAAGTCGCTTTGGATAAAAGCGTCAGCTAAATGCAATGTAATGTAATATAATATACTATGTGTTTGCTCCACAGTTTATTTCAAGGAGGTCTGCTAACATTTTTCACAGGATCCATGTTAAAGTCATGAAACAGAACATATAACGTGATCCCACTTGGTGAGCAAACAGAACAATTGTGAGGGACTGCTTTTCAAGAGCATTTGTTCAGGCATTTCACTTTTATCTTTGACAGATGACAGTGTAAAAATAAAGAAGAGAGAAGGGTAGGGACATGCAACAAAGATCTCAAAACTGGAATCAAACAGGGGTGTTTCAGCTCAAAGAGTTCCAGCAACAGCAGATGTGGCAGTCCATTCATTATCTCTCCTTTTAGGCAGAGATCACATCAATTATTTAGGCTTAGTTTCCCCCGCAGGCTGTCAGAGCTTTTTGGACTCACCTTCACTCCTATTTAAAAAAATAAATGGCAACCTCCTCCACTGAATACTACCAACGCTTATGGGCAGAAAAAGCCACCTTTAAATGTCCTATAATAACCTATACTTTGTATAACTCTATATCCACATTCAACTGAAAAAACAAGACCCTTTGAATCAAACCAGCCAGCTCTACATAAAAACAAAACAAACAAAAACACTTTAAGCTCGACATTTTCCCCATCAGTCCCCGGCAAATCAGCTCCAGTATGAATCTAAAAAGATCCCTCCCAATCAATCAGATATTACATGATTAGAAATAAAACAAAATATTTTCAGTTTCTCAGCCCTATCAAAAGCCACAGTTTAATCAAAAACATTTACATAGCAGAAACTGAGGATAAACCTAATAGATAATCCACAACACAAACTCCACTTTGGCACCATGGAATTATACACCCATCTGCCACAATCTTGATGTTATAAGTAACAACAACCCCATTTATATCTGAAAGGCAAAAAGAAAAGAAAACATCCTGTCTTCATCCCCCCATCTGGTCAAGAAGTAAAGAATTTGGGGCCTAAACTTTAATCCTCCATTCAAACAAAATATAACATGATGCACCAACACCAACATTCTTTCACTCTCAACTTCAGGGTTCATTAACATCTTTAAAACTCCTCTCCAACATGGAGTCAACATGAGTTATTTTAGGCTTAAAACCTTTTATTTATCAACGCTTTTCCAGAGGTCATTAAACAACATTTGTTAGTACATTTGCACCTCTTTAAGAGTCAGATGTATTTAAAATGCTGATTTCTAACTACCTTCATTGTCTTTCATAATTAAAGCACTTTGAATTGCCTTTATGTATAAAATATGCTATGTAAATAAACTAACCTTAAACTAACATTAACAGAGAATATTATTACAGTCTGAACAAACTGTACCGGTTCTATAAATGAAATTGGAATCAGACCTATCTATCACTCATGATACTGACATCTGGAACATGTTCAACACTTTCTACAATGTGACTAAAAATGCCAACATATTGTGCAACTCATACAGTAGATACTCAACGTTATTTACCTGACAAAAAAGTGTATAAATGGGATTCTCATCAAAACCAATGGTGCACAAACCAATTATTGGATATGCAACATTTGTATTCAATTAGACAAAGACAAAATGGAAGTAAATGTTTTCAGAGCCAGGGCGAGTGTATGAAAGTCAGCACTCAGCTTTAATCGGCAATGTTTAAAACCACGGGCCAGGCAACAAATGTATGTGTAGTACTCAGACCTGATTTATGGCAAGTCAGCCTCTATATCAATATATCAGCGATGAAAAATACATTTGTCTCAGCAGGATTTGGAAAAACGTTTATCTTTAGTATACTCAATTACTTATTTGTAGGGCCGGGACTTTAACGCGTTAATTAAGATTAATTAATTACACAACAATTAACGCGTTAAAAAAATTAACGCATTTTAATCGCACTTATTTTTTGCACCGCGGAACGTTTCTCACTGGATGAGTTTCAGGCGTACCGATTATACTGGAGCACCAACTAACGTTCATGACTTCAGACAACAACAAACCACAGTGAACAACAGTGGGAAATGTTTTAAAAAACGGACGGATGGAAGCGTCGATAAGAGCACGGTTGTGTGCAAATTATGCAAAAAGGAATTCGCATATCACCGCAGCACATCAAGCCTCAAGTATCACCTCAATGCAAAACATATAGCAGCTAGCGTGGACGTTAGCCTCTTTTATCGCGTTCACACCAAAAAGAGCCGGTACTAAAATTAGTTCATGAGAACCTTTTTACCCCCACGAAAGTCCCTGCTAGAGAGCAGAGAGCTGCTAGAGAGCAGGGACTTTCGTACGGCTCTCTTGTGAGAAAAGAGCTATATTTCTGATTGGCTGGGCGGATTGCAAACCACGCCCCGTAAAACTCCCAAAAAGTTTTGTGAAGCCGCCATTTTATTATCCTCGCATTAGCATTATTAGCATTAGCCCAGCGCAGAAACGCAGAGAGACTAACTTATGGCAACACAAAATAAAACATGGGAGCGGTGGAGATGAGGAGGTGTCGGCGTTCTGGCGATTTACTCGGAAGGCTGCTGGGACTCCCAGCAGCTTCTACTGAAGCCAGTCCCCAACTCCGGGGACTTCCGGCCGGGGACTTTGGGCGGCAGTATACGCCGTGAAGTGGTTTGCGGCCTGCCAGTAAACTCAAAGCAGAAGAAGAAGAAGTGACGTCAGCGGCTTAATTTGACTAATCCACCCCCAGGTTCAAAGAGTTCTCATGAACTAAATTCTCATGAACCTTTGTGGGAAAAGTACTGCGGTGTGAATGCGCCTAATGGTATACTAAAATCCATGTGAAAAAAATTGCTTCTCACTGTTCTTAGGTCAAATATTTATATGTGATTAAAAATGCGATTAATTTCGATTAATTAATTACAAAGCCTCTAATTAATTAGATTCATTTTTTTAATCGAGTCCCGGCCCTACTTATTTGTGAAGGTCTTTTCACCAGATGTCTTTTTTGCAGATATTTATGTAATATAAATACATTTTCTGTTAACAATACAACTAATAGATGAATTAGATGGCAAAGAAAACCCTTAACAGACTGAGTTACTGCATGGTCAATGATGTATTATAGCACTAAAATCCCTACCAGTGTAGTGTCCCCCATGCATTCCTCCATGATGGTTACACACAGCGTAGAGGTCGTACAGAGCGTCCTGGGGGAGGGTCAGGTCAGTTTGGTGTTGGCCTGAGGACTGCTTCCAAGGAGGAGGCCAGGCCCCCAAGTTCAGGTTCTTCATACTCTGACTCCTCTTCACCACATGGGGGGCCATGTCCAAACCAGTGAGGGGGAAACGCACCAGGGTGGACAGCTTGTTCCTCCGCTCGCCTACCTGTTCCAACAATACATATAGAGTATGTGTATGTGCAGGAATGAAACATAAAACACTGTTTAGTGTGATAATCCAAGAACAGCGGATTTAACAATTATCCCAGTATTAATTAAAAAGCTGTCAAATTAATTAAGCAGGATATAAAAAAATTAATAAAAAATGCTTAATTTAAGACTAATTAAAATGACACAGTGATGAATCACATTAATCGGGAAGAAAAACTAGAGGAGTTTATAGTAACCTTCCAGCACGTATATATGTCCTTTGGACTACTACCCAATCAGTGATGTTGCAGCAATTGCATTAAACAAAGATCTTTAAAAAATCAGCTTGAGACTTTTTGCACTTCTGGGTGTGATTACTACAAATTAGAGAGAGATTTGAAGCCACTGAAGCCCTCGAAACCATGAAATGACCTAGTCGTTACCCTTGAGGTGCTGTATGTGAAAAGTTTAGACTTTACCCTGGCACAAAGATATCCACAAAACCTACTAAACTGGATCCATTCCAACAAATCCCATAAAATAGGTGACTTTGGGCAACATTTATCATAACCTTTTTACTGCTTGGCAGTAATTGTCAACATTGCTCATGAAATACTTTATCAATCTTTAATTTTTTGCTGTAGCATGAAGTGAACCTTCCTGTTAGAGTGCTTCCCCTCCTTTGTACAAACGATCATATATTATTTATCGCCAAAAAGTAAAATATCTCCCGTTGAAATGACTATTCACTGTAAAAGCCTCGGCCCCCCTCCTGGGATTGGCACATTTTCTCCTGATTGAAGGCTGTGGTTGAAGGTTATGCATACCCCCACAACCTCAGACACTGTGTTGTGAGGATCATTGGCTTCTGGTTAAGTCTCCAGGGCAGAACTGGGCATTGGCACAGAGTCAAACAGAGGGGTTGAATGAATTATAATGCAAATGCTGGGAAAAGATAACAATGGTCAAAGTAGCAATGGCCATGACTGAGCAATGGCTGAACATAGGGCCACCTGCTTATTAGCTGAGGGCGAGCGATGCAAATCAAGCACTGGACAACGCTGGAGGCAAAGCTAGGACTTAACCTTGGCAGCAAAAATAGAGTTTGGTACGTGTAATGTAAGTGTCTCAACTTCTGTGGGATTGGAGCGGCTAGTGCCAGCTGTGAAATGAAACACCATGTGGATGTTCCTCATGTCAGGTGTGTGCAGCTATGGGAAAACTAGAATCTCATGTGCCAGATGCTTTGGTACACAGAACGATCTGGGAAGCTGGGAAGTTGGGAAATGTTTGGAAAAAGACCCAGCAGCTTTGAAAAAGGCTTCAGTCTGCTGTCGAGCTAATAGGTATATGGTGTTTGCTCAGTGGCTGTTTCACTTTCTTTGGCCAAGTTCTCCTTCGTCATTATGCTTTTTTGAAAAACTCTCATTCAGCATGACTCAACATTACATTTCCTTTTTTAAATAATGAAATAGTACTGATAAAGAAATGCAGGGCATGCGGTTTGTGCAAGGCAGACATCCGCCATGTTGCTAGGCAATCAGAGATATCTAACATAAAATGAGGAAAAGCTTTTATAAGACATGTTATGAAGATAAATAGAAACATAAAAAACACGAGACGGTATGGTTCAATGTTTGGAAATGTACCTATTGTGTTTCTATGGGAGGCTGGAGAGAGGATTTGCAGTCAAATATGTAGACAAAATGTAATACTAACTGAGCGACAGTTTGCCTTGCAATATCAATACTACTTAACTGTCTTTCATGCATCTTACTTTTATAACTCTAACACTTATCTAACCCCTCCCTGATATCCTCTCAGTCAGTCACAGCCTGTATCTGTACTACTTTCAGAATATTGGATGTAATAATTACCAGGAGAACATGTTCTTTAATTACGTTAAAGAAACACAATATTGATTTATTATTATCATATTAAGGTGTTCAGGGAAATGTGTTTACAAACAATTACGTTCACATATATCAACCGATCCTAGAAAACATTAGCATTCAGTGTTTGTTTTTTCTCTTAGCCAAGTGATACATGTTTGCTATTCTATTAGCTCTTTTGTGTTCTACACCACAAGGGAAATATCTGGCTAGCAAGCTGATAAAAGTAACAATAACTGGTAGCTAAGGTTGTTAGATGTTTGATGCTGGTGAGACACTGCAAAGTGGAATTTCTTGTTTTCTTTGTGCTGAAAATAAGTTGAATCGAAACGGTGAGGGGGAACTGCAGTTCATGGTTCTCTCGGGGTTTGTCCATTAGAGTGTCCCTTTTCACAGTGAACAGTCATTTAATCAATTGTTAATTATATATATGTCAATAGGATCAACTTCAAGGCTTAAATTATTCAATTCAAGCTGAACTCTTTCTTTCCTGTAAACTGTTTTCCCCACTTTAAGGCTCACATACCTGTCGAAAGCGCTTGAGGTGGAGGATCAGTATGTCCGGAAGAGTCCAGAGGCTCATCTTCACCATGCCCTGCTGAAGCTGCTTACAGTGGGGACACTTCCAGGCGTCATCCGGGGCAAGCTGTCAACACATCAATCAACAACATGGTTATACATAATACATCGTTTGCTAGTTAAAGTGTAATATGTTCTTTATCTGTGGTCATTTCCTTTAATCATTTTCCCTTACATGGAAGCAGGGGTTATATATTGATTAAACTCTGCAATGTTCAAACCCATGTCTTTTTTCAAGTAATCAGTACCTGAAAATGTTCACTTTCCGATCGTTGTGTGAATTAAGTGTGTTCTATTATAAACTTCAAGTGGACGTAGTCACCGTGACGTGACCCTTGAGTATGTTCACTACTGTTTTGAAGCCTTGAGTTGGGCACTTTTTCCGTCACAATCTTGGTTTTTGGTCCTCTTTGCAGGGATATTTTCTCTTCGGCTTCCATACAAAATGACTTATTTTTGCAACCTGTGAAGTTGCATTGTGGCTTTCAGAGAGAGTGTGAGGTTATGCGTAGGGCTCACAGACCCAGATGTTCTGCTGGGTTCTGCTTCACCATATATGAAGGCATCACAAATAATCTTTTGTGCATGCATGAGAGAAAAAAAAAAGATACTCCAGTCCCCTTGATTGTGAACTTTTTTTCTGATGAGATCCACCTGGCGGCTATAGGCGTCATCAGCATTGTGGGAACTTGTTTGGCAAGGGCTTATTATGTAAACAAAGCTCATTTATATGTAGACACTGCAGCTTTGACCTAAGATATTGTTGAACAGCTGTCAAGAATTCAAGGATGCTTCCAAGTACTTTGAGCACAATGCGCAATAAAAATATAAATTACATTACATTACATTACATTGCATTTAGCTGACGCTTTTATCCAAAGCGACTTACAATAAGTACATTCGACCAGGAAGACACAACCTTGAAGAAAACAGAATCATATAAGTACATCAGGTTTCATAGAGCCAAACATTTCAAGTGCTACTCAACTGGTTATAGATAAGCCAGTCCTTTATTAGTATATAAGTGCTTTGTTAATAATTCTATCGCTCGAGGTTGAGTCGAAAGATATGAGTTTTCAGTCTGCGCCGGAAGGCCTTTCAAGAAGGCAGTTCAAGACTATGGCCTTCATTGTTAATTCTAGTAACTGCAGAGCTTTTTCCTCTTGCGAATAGCAAGGATTTGATTGACGTAAATGAAACTGGATGCAAGACGAAAAGCAATTTTCTGCAATTTTGAAAAGCGACTAGGTTCAACCAAATGCATAATTCTGCAGGTTTGGATGCTTGCTGATTTTAAGACAGTTCCCCTGAAGCTCAGTCATCAGTGCAAAAAATGGAAAAATAATGATCCTGCTGAGATTCCATTTCAGAAGTATAATAAAAAAAACATCCCAATATGTTTTGAATACAAATTAAATTAAATTAAATTACATCCTACTTGCAAACTGACACAGACATATCATTTCACTAAATCAACCTGGAGGAGGGATGTCATTTACCAAATCCGTCAGCAATGCCTCATTCTTTTCTAAGGCTCATTTTTCTTCCAAATCATATAATAAAAATGATAGATTCTTTCCACAGTGCTTTGTTTTTTACAGTGCCGCTCCCATTACTGTTTTCACAAACTTAATAAATACTTAGGAATAGTTAGTAAATTCTCTACAGTTAGAATTCATTCTTGGCTTACATAACAATGTATGTAATAAGTAATGAGCAGCTGTTCTTAAGATCTCTGTCTATGCTTTTTTGCAACGGTTACTTACTGCCCTGTACTCTAAACCGGCTCATTTCAGTCAGTCATTTGTGACGTTTTTCAGTCCTAAAACTCACTGTGAGCAGCTGTGAGTAAACACTGTAGCCGACACAAAGCTAATGTAATATTGCTCCATGTCCTGTTCTTCTTCTTCAAGGTGGGCGGCTGCTAATCTCTTATACTCAAAGGCAATATTGTCCCTTTTTTCCAACTTGATCTTTTGTTTATATTGGGTGCTATAATAAATCTTGTCTGGTATATCCTGACATGTTATTTTATGGTTTTCCTATTACCAAAACTATGTTATCTTGTGAACCTCAAACACTACTTTAATTAGTTTACTCTAGGCATGATTAATTAATGTAATCTGAACTGTGATTGTGATAAATGTAGGGTTTATTGGTAAAAATACTTTTTTTAAAGAAAACTCAATTGCAAATTTGAAATGTCCTTGATCTTTCGGTCAAAAAGAATGATATAAGACGTTCTTCAAGGCGACTTTGGTGCCGTTGTGAATAAACATGGATTTATGTATTTTCCATTGCGGTCAGTTTCTCAGGGATTAGATTCCTTTAGTGTTCATCTACTTCACACACATTTGGGAGGCATGAAGGACTTGCACAAACTTCCAAAGGGTTTACTTCATTGCTAAAGGACTGCTGCATACCTCTTCCCTAAAAAGGAAATACAACTCTGAAATCTATATATTTTTTTCAGCTTTTGGCAACTGAATTGATTTGTATTGTACTTTTCCATTTTATGTAAGGATTTCTTGACTTTATGTTTTATGTATTTTCTCTTACTTTGTAATACATAATTGTTTTACTGCAATGCACCACAACAACAAATAATACTTGACAATACACCTAAACCTCAGTCAGAATGGGCTCCAGAAACACTAACACCCCCACGCTGCACCATATAATACTGTACATACATGTAGCTTTTAGAGCAATTTCTGTCCATTTGTGGCCATCTCAATTTTCACCTTCATTCACTCTGGCTGAGAATAGGAATTATCTACTTGGGTAAGTGTGTGGGGAAAGCACAGAGACTGGGACGCTTCATATGGACACTGAAAAGGTCGCTGTCAATCACAGGAGGGCAGAATACTGTTAACTATAACTGGGATATTTGAATCTGGCTTGCCTTGTATAGTCATAGTATGTTCAAAGTGCGCAGGTGAGGTTAACTCCAGGGTGTAAAATATGTTCTCAGTTTGTTTTATTATAATGGTGATGGGTATTAGAGTTGCAATGGAAAGACATTTAGGACAGCAATCTTAAAAAAATAGTGTAATCGTATTTTAACAAGGGTGTCATTTCTTACTGTACCTATAACACCAATTTAGCACTGCAACCTTTCATTATTGTAACAATTTATATCATTTTTCATAATATTTCTTCAGCTAAAACCTGTCGCTTGCACTGCAATTGAACTAATGATGGTTAAGTTGGAAAATTGGGTGGGCTAATAGAGACTAAAGTAGCGAGGGACAGAGGCCTGATAAGTTCCCCTTGAAATCCAGCAGGTTTATCAGGATTATTTTAGTTTTAAAGTTATAGAAAAAAAATCTCCATAGCAACATGCAAAAAGATGATGAAAAACAGAAGATGAAGAACAGTCATAGTTTCACCTGTTCTTCTTTGGTGTACAGCTGGAAGCACTCGTCTAAAGTGCAGCTGTGCTGCTGCAGGTGCTGCTGCTTCTGGTTCCTCACACTCTCTGCATCCTTCACCACCTCCTCCTGGATGCTGCCAAAGAGACTGAAACACACACACACACACACACACACACACACACACACACACACACACACACACACACACACACACACACACACACACACACACACACACACACACACACACACACACACACACGTAAATCTATTATATCTATATATATCTGGGAATAAGAGAATCCCACAAGCTGAACAAGACAACAGTTAAATAAAACTGGTCAAAATGAATTTTTCGGATAAATATAAAGTTATCTGTTTTTATTTATCGATCTAATCAGGTGAGTAAGCCTATTCATGTGTAAGCCTACCTTTACAGACCTTTGCTTAGCAAATGCATAAATACACTGAACTATGAGTCATACACACCTCTAGTTACTATCGGTGGCACACTCCCTCAGCCCTAGGGTCAATCTCATCATGTTCACATAAGTGGCGAGGGATGTTTAATGACTTCAGAGATCATTTAAAATGTTTTAATATCCGTAAAAGCTTTTATGTTCAGCGTTGTGAATTGAACGCCTCAAATACTTTTTAAAGATCTGCAGAAACTCTGGTATACTCTACTAGACGGTGAAATGTTTGTGCAGAACGCTTACCATTCTTTGATCTTGTTCTCCCACTCAATGACAACCTTAACATGGGGTGGTCCTCCGGGGCCGCAGAACTTCAGAGCTCTACAAGACAGCAAGAAAATGAAGTTTTCAAAACACACCTTATGATCCTAGTATTGTCAGTGTTAGTAGAAACATTCTGCCTCATCTTTAAAAGCCTGAACCACAAACCTGTGGGAGGCGGAAATCTTATGTCACTCAGTGAGACTTTCTATGAATGTTTGTTTGTGCTTTTTATTTCATTTCACCTTGACAAGCCGACAGACATGCACAAGTTTACAGATTGTCAACGGAGCGATTACACGGGGTGGTCGCCTGCAGGTGAGACATGGCTTGATATCATTTATTTATATGCAAAGCTGTTGTGAGCCATTACATAGCCAAAAAAGTGTCATGTTGGTTCTGACTCAGCTGCCACACAGCGCCGTGGTAGATTTAACAATAGCTCAGGCACACAATATTTGTTTTTTCCTAGGAACAAGACGGATTGCTGATGGCATATGATATGAAGTCGTGACAAAATGTGATTCATTCTGATTTTGTAAAGAACCTGCATTCAGAAAAGAGACAGTCTGCAGATTTCCAGCAGGGCCTGTCATGTCTAGGAAACTAATAGTGAAAGTGTATTCTTTATGTTAGTTTTGTCATGTCCCTTTGCCCTGTGCTTTATGTTTATTCCCTTAATTAATCATCCCTCTCATTTCAGGCCTCCACGCTCCCCGCCCCTTTCTGTCTCCTGCGTCCTTGATTGTTTTCCCCGCCCTGATTGTTTCCACCTGTGTCCCCTTTACCTGTGTATATATTGTGGTAGCTTCCTCCTGTTCATTGTCAGTTTGTTGTCTTACTATGACCCACGTTCCTGATTACCTCACGGACTTCCCACGGATCTACCTCATTGATCACTTGCTAGTTTTCCTCGAATGAGTATATTTGTTTTGATTACTTTGCAAAATTCCAGTAAAGTCTTTATTTTTTTAGAACACTATCTGTGTCGTGCAATTGAGTTCATGCCTCAGAGTCTCTCCTTGACAGGGCCTGAATAATGAATCATTCTCAGTGAGAGTAGTTTTTCTCTAACTGAGGTAGAGTTCATGTTGTTCTCTTATTATTGTTTACTGTGTATGTTGATTGCATAAACGTGTCTGAGATCGTAACCACTAGATGTCAGGCTTATGTATCATGGCCAAGCATTCCAGAAATGTAAAATAACTCAATAACAAATAACAACTTATTGACCTATAACATGTTTATCTCTCTAGGCTTGTGATTGTACTTGAGTTTGGCATGAATGGTATAATAAAAACTGCCTCTGGATGAATTGGAAATCTTTTTTTTTAGTGCTGTAATATTTGATACAAAACAGTGTTCCCTATTCAAGGACTCATGCAGTTGTCATGGTGCTATGTGGCTTTGGCAATTTCAAGAAAACTAAAGCAGTGGAATTGAATGCACTTTGAAACGTGTGTATTTGTTCTGTGACAAAGGAGTTGAACATACAGTCAATAAAAATGCAAGTATTAGTAACACAGACACAAACTATGAAGGCAGAAATGTGCTACTTGAACAAGTGTGGACTTTAACAATGTTTATCATAACTTATACCAATTTATATCAGAATAATTTAATTGCCAATAAATAACATGACCATTAAATTATGGGTCAGTCATTTAATTAAAAAACTTTTTTCTAAGTTATTCCATATTATAAGTTGTCTGCCTATCAGGCTCCATCTTAACATTAATTATTCCTGATTCAACCTTTCCACTTCATCCCTTTAATTGGAACACAGCTCTGTTTGAGCAGGGTGCCACATAGAAATGAAATGAAACTCATGTCACAGAGCAGCAGCAGCAGAAGCTTTGATTAGCAGAGAGCTGCCAACACACAGCAGCACACTAATTAACTACTAAATTATACACATATTTTAGTGACACATTACTACTACAGAACAACAACATGCACACAAACAACAATTACCTGGTAGCAAAGTGATTACACAGTAATAGGGCCGAAAAATAAAATATATATATAACTTATAATGGGACAGATTCTCGATATTCAGCCACAATCTTCAGGCTTGTGTAAGATTGACAAGCACATCTTATTATATGTATGCCTGGTTTTTGTGCTTTGGGCAGCTGTATTTCCATAGAAACATGTTCTGAATGAAATCACATCACAGCCAGGTGTGCAGATTTCCATGAATTTTAAAAAGCATTTAGAGCTGAAAACCAAATAACATACACAACCATTTCATTGGGAGAAGCTGGCAGAAGAAGTGGTGGGGATCTGCAAACATTGGCACATTAGTTCTAAACCATGCAGCATTTGAAATGACTGATATATGGGACAATATATTTCTGGGATTTGTAAGAACTGACCCCTTAACTCGTTAAATATTTAAAAAGTTGATAAAGAAAGAAATAATTTCTCTAAATGAGGGATCAACATGTGGATCGTGCCTAGGATAGTTTTGAATTCAAGTTGAACAGCGTTTATATACAGATCTGTTGTGTTTTAGGGACAGACACTGCAAGTTCTCTTAAGCTATAAATGATTGGGTTCATGTTACATACTTGTGCCAATACTAAACACACATACACATTCAACAAATACATTAAAATCAGCTAAAGCCTTGAGCATCAAGTTAATCCCACTCCATTGCGTTTTGATTTGTTATTGGTCAGTTATTTTGATATTGATTCTATCCACAGGTGTTGTGTGATAAAGAGACTGGGTAATGATGCGGTCCTTGTAATCCGCTTATAGGTGTAATGTGTGGGTGCCTGGTAAAAAGCTCCAAACTAACATACTTTAATACTTAGCAGATGTGGAATAAGTACTTAGATCTTGTACTTAAGTACAAGTAGATGTACCAGAGTGTAGCAATACTCTGTAACAAGTAAAAGTCCTGCAATTAAAATGTTACTTAAGTAAAAGTAGAAAAGTATTAGCATCAAAATATACTAAAAGTACTAATTTTGCAGAATATTTATTATATAAATTACATGATTTGTATGCATTCAAATGTTATCAAAGCTGGTTAAGGTTAAAGACTTTGTATGCTGCAGGGTAGCTTGTGAATATTACTCCAGATTTGACTTAAGTCTTATTTAAATGTTTATGTATATTACCAAACACAATCTGCAAAGTAATTAGGTATTGAATCAGTGTAGTGGATTAAAAGTACACAATTTAACTCTGAGTTATAGTGGAGTAGAAGTACAAAGTAACAAAAACATTGAAATACTCAAGTAAAATACAATTAATTACAGTACTTGAGTAAATGTACTTAGTTACTTTACACCACTGATGTTTAGTTTATTAGATTAAATTCAAAGTGGCACAGCCCCTCCCAACATTACTTCCCTATTTCCAAACTCTCAAACCACTGAACATTTTTTATTTGATTTCCCCAACTGGTTTAGTCTCAAAGAGAACTAAAAGTTCTGCAATATGGCACCAGGGTTTAAAGATGCCACAAAAAGTGAGCTGGAAAACTAAGTTGACTGCTGTCACTACACTCAGTCTCATAATGTACCATAATGTGGTAACAATCTGGTGTCTGGTTTTATATAAAATCAATTTGATTGACCCAAATCTCCTGGCAGCTGTCACGACAAAACTGAAATAAATCCTGTTTTATTTTTTCTTCTGATTTGGATGTATTCCATTAAACAACCTTGCGAATCATGGGACAGCGACTCCGTCCATGATTGACAAGTCCTCGGGGCAGCTCTACCTTTCTATGCTAGACCCTACAGTGACTCACCATATTCTCTGAAGGAAAAAGTGGTATCACGATACAGGACAGGCAGGAAATATCTCTGCAGAACATCTTTGACTAAACAAGGACACCTCTCCACATTCAGTTGATTATTGTCTGACTGATTCTGACCAAGTTACACATTGCACCTTAAAGGTGTATTTGTTTCTGAAATAATTTGTGGCTTTTTGCCCAATGCAATAGAAAACATGTCTGTTATGTGTTCAAATATCAGCTAATGTAGTCATTTCCATCAAGCCTATAGTCTTGATAGGCTGATATGATTATATTTATGATTAAGAGTCATTCAATCGATCAACTTGTCATGGTCGTTAAAAAAGCCTTTAAAGCCTTTTTTTGTGGGATCATTGCATCTTTTTACCACAGTTGTACCACAAGATGTGTGTGTGTGTGTCTGTGCTTGTGTGTGTGTTTGTGTGTGCACTGTATAATGTGCTGTGCATCTGGTATAATGTATGCATGCAGGGACTGTATATTTATGTCAGCATAAATGTGCTATCGGCCATAAAAAAAGAAACGGTATAGTACTTAGGTACAGTAGGTCTTTCTTTGTGAGAGTCTACAATTTGGTGTGAGTGTGTGTGTGTGTGTGTGTGTGTGTGTGTGTGTGTGTGTGTGTGTGTGTGTGTGTGTGTGTGTGTGTGTGTGTGTGTGTGTATGTGTGTGTGTGTGTGTGTGTGTGTGTCCTACCTGTCAACAGCAGTGTGGTACAGTGGCCTGCTGTCCTGCGGGGACAGGTAGCTGTAGTTTGACGATCCTCCAACTACTCTAATCTTGAACAGCATGCCAGCATTCTGCAAAGGATGAAAACACTCATTAGTACAGCTGGGTCCTGAACTTGCTCAATCTTTTTTGCAAATAAAACCTTAAACGCTGAGTTCAAATTCAGTGGTGATAAGATTATATGATTTAAAGGGAGGAAATGCAACCATACTGTATATCCAGAACATCTTGTTATGCTTTAATTACCTGACAAAAAAGGCATGACGTCTTCTTAATCAATACAGATGTAGCTTTTAAATGTTGTATGTCTAAAACAATTCAAACAAGAATACAGTACATACTCCCTCATTATTTCCCTAATGGTAGATATATTATGTGTGAGAGAACTTGGTTAAAGAAATATTTTTCAGGGTCTTTAAATAAAGCATGGGCTGTGTAGTGTGGTTTTAATATCTTATTAACACTTAAATAAGTAAATCAAAAAGTTGGAGATGTCAATATGTACTGTATCATTCAAATTGAAGAAAAACTAAAATTACCTTGGCATATTGTACATCTTTTAATGGACTGTGTGGATGTTTATTGATAATTTAAAATGAAAGAAATCCTGTAAGAGATATTTCTGCAATTGGACTGCATATTCAAGTGCTGACAAAACCCTTCTCTGATTTGGAGCTGAAATCTAGGATATCAACATAACTTAACCACAACAGTTAAAGCATACAACCTCCCTCATTTCTATCTGAAGGCTAGTCATGCCAGGACCTCGCTGGAATAGAGAAAATGCATTTGCAGATTAACTTTAAATCCACTGATGCCTGAGCAGCAGAGACAAGAAGGCAGAGCTATAGGGAGCAGAGAGCACAACTGGGTTGCTAATGTTTTCCTTCTAAGCCGGCCAACGTTGGAGAATATGAAGTGCAGCCTAGCATAAAATAAACAAATTGGTTGGTTAATAGGAGCCTAACGCAGCATATTAAAAAAGCCATATTCTCTATTTTCAGTTTTAGAGGGCAGAGCGAGTATAGATTATCTATCTATTGAACTTTAATGAAGAAGAGCAGACACTTCATGCTAATGAGCAATCATACTGATACAATGTGGAAAGTTAAGGATTCGTGATCTGTCTTAAAGGAGAGCTGATAACTGAAGAGATTAATTTAAGTGATTCGGGGACTTGACATTAAAGCAAGGGGCTCTTTTGTATGAGCACATGATTATATCAGCTGCCCAACACATAGCGAGTTGATTATAAGATCGAGTGTTAACTTAAAGGAAGGCAGGGGTCATTTACTGTAAGGAATCAGTGCTAGTTAGACCATGGGACCAGGGGAAAAGAGTGATGATAATCTAAGCTTTTCAATAAAAGTGTAAACTGTTATGGGATATTTTAACATCAGTTCATAAAAAATAGTAATTTAAAAGAACTTCTAAAAATCTGATAAGCAAATTGGACTTTTCAACAACTATCAATAACTACTCAATTGTTAAAAAAATCCTTCCGAAATTAGATTGATTGGTCTAGCTAGCACTTGATGCCAACACAACAACAAATAACCCTTTTTTTTAATCAGAGTTTGTACTTTATATGTTTTGTACAATAAAACATATAAAGTATGTTTTAGTGTAAGAGTACAAAACAAACCCTTTGTTGCATACCTGTATATAATATATTTGAGTGGCCTTTAATACAAACATCTGCCGTGACAGATAAAGGTTTGTTATGTCAAGGATCAAGATAGAACAAATTGAGAGCCAAAGCAGCTACAGCATTTTGTTCTCATTCTTTCAATTGGTCTATAGTAAAGGCAGGAAGCATTAGCACTTGCGGTTAATTGTGATATTATTTGTAGAGAACATCAGGGTGTGGAAAGATGAGCCGGTTTCTGACATGCAAGTCGGTAACAACTCAAGTTATGTTTTCCTTTTTTCATTCCCTAAAGAGAAAGTTGTACCTTGCTGAAAAAACCTCTGGGTGGCGCACTAACCTCTCATAAAGAAGAACGAGGGAAAATCAACTATTTTCAGCAAAGATCTCACACACTTTCTGCATGTCATTTTCTGCATTTAACTAAATATATAAAGCTTCTTCAATTTGTCCCCATTAACTGTGGGGTTTCTTTGGAGGTTTTTCCTTGTTCGATGTGAGGGTCGAAGACAAAGGGTGTAAAGTCCACTCAGACAAATGTAACATTTTTTATATTGGGCTATATAAATAAACTTTGATTGCTTGATTGATTTATTGACTTTGTACAGCAGCTAACATGCTTTTTACATTTTACTTTTGTTATGAGAACAACAAATCAAAGCATACATTGAACATTTTACCCTTGGGATATTGGTGGCTTTTCCAGCAAAATACACATGTTCAATCTAAATCCAAAACACCCTGGTAGTTTTGTTAACTGAGAAAGATTTGGGTACTGAGGAAAAGTGAAGGTTTAACAAGCTTGTACTGTATCTGGCCAGACAGAAACTAAGATAATGATCAGTAAATAACAGGCTGGTATTTTCCGTCTTTTCTTGGAAAAGCTTAAAAGCTGCTTGCTCTGAATAAGGCCACCTCAAATATTGCTGATTACCAAGGCGTTTTCCATGGCAACGCGATGGTCCACAGTGAGTGAGTGAGTGAGTGAGTGAGTGAGTGAGTGAGTGAGTGAGTGAGTGAGTGAGTGAGTGAGTGAGTGTGTGTGTGTGTGTGTGTGTGTGTGTGTGTGTGTGTGTGTGTGTGTGTGTGTGTGTGTGTGTGTGTGTGTGTGTGTGTGTGTGTGTGTGTGTGTGTGTGTGTGTGTGTGTGTGTGTGTGTGTGTGTGTGTGTGTATTTGAGAGCGGAGCAGTGGCTCCTGTTGAGCAGACCATTTGAGCTGTCCATTGAGCAACAGATGAAGTGGAGATGAGCTCGTCAGGTATCACTGCAAAAGCTCTCAGTACATAACGAGTGGAGGAGAAGTAGATGGTGGATTTTAATATGCAAGACTGGATGTCCGGAAGAAAAAAAACACTTCAGAATCACCAGCTGTATTGTGTACATTTTAATTCAGGAATGTAGCAGTAATGTGTCCACTGTGGCGTTAATAGTACATATTTTTACAATAATGGAAATCCAGTCCTTATCTTGAAGACGAGAATTTATATTATTTGCCTTTAAGTGGGCTGTGACATAATTTAATGTGTACTCAGCACATAAAACCATTATTACTCTCACATAAATGGTGTGTGTTTATGTGTGTGTGTGTCCTGAGGTGTACTTTGCTTTTAAAAGATTTTTATTTAATATGGGCATTTCCCATATTATAATTTATATATTTGCCCATACTCGGAATTAATAAAAATAAAACGAATGATGACTTTCTACTGTATGAATAAAAAAAGAGAACCACAAAAGATAGTTAATAATGAGGAGACAATACAATACAGAAGTCCCTGACAGCTATTCACTCAGCATGCTAAGCAGAAAATAAATGTTGTAGTATCAGCAGAGTTCCTATTAAATAATTTATAATCAGAAAAATGAAAAACAAACATCTGAAGGACAACTTTTCTCAACTCATTATTGTGGGGTTTAACCTTGGTCTTTATGTAGAGCTGCAAATGCGACTCAGGTAATTGTAAACAAACAATGCGTACAATTGAATTCACACACAGAATCCTATCAGGAAAATTGATTAAACTAATCTCTGCTCTGCTATTTTAATTTACTCCACTGGAGTGGAGATGGTCCAGGAACTCCTGGGCGAAGGGTAAGGGGTACAACAATTGATTGGATGAAGTTATTGCTTATTGGGGGTGTAGGCATTACCTGAGCCTGGGATCCATTCAGCATCAGATAATACAGCTTGCTGAGGATGCTCTGCTGCAGCTGGTCCCAGGAGATGCTCCTGTCCTCACGCATGAGAAATGGAGGTCCAAACCTGACAGAAGAGAAGAGAGGAGAGGAGAGGAGAGGAGAGGAGAGGAGAGGAGAGGAGAGGAGAGGAGAGGAGAGGAGAGGAGAGGAGAGGAGAGGAGAAAAGTGAAAGATTGACAGTCAATTTAAAAACATTGGTTCACTTTTGAAGTCACCAAAACTACTAAACAATATAAATTACATTTCTGAGAGAGTGCCTCCATTGAAGGTCATTTCAACTCATTGTGTCATCACCCCATCTGTCAAGCTGTCATGTGTCAAGAGCATCAAGGCTTTACTGTCCGCTCCTTGTGTCCTGTACTGACAACTTGAAGGGACATTATATGGGGTCAGAGGCCAAATAAAGTAAAGAACCCAGTCTGTAATGGGTTCCCTGTCTCGAGGTTAACTCAAGGCTATATCAGAGACTTTTATATGCGAGGCTAATGAGAGTCAGTTGTGTTTGTCAAGTATTTCAGGATCTCTCACGGATAATTTAGAGATAAAGAGCTGAATATTGAAGTTTCAAGGTTCAAAGCACATACAATCAATTGCCAGTGTATTACTGTGTAGCAGGACAAGTTGATTTAATGTTATTGTCATTTTAGAGGTTTTAGTTTGTTGGCTGTTGTTTGACTTTCGTATATTTTTTTGCAAGAGTTTGTGTGCCTACACCATCCTTGCAAAAGTTGGTAGAAGGTGCTATACTGTTTCAAATTGCTACAGAAGCAAAATCTGTAATGCCAAAAGTGGTTCAAAAGTGTAGGAACTGAGCTTTAATTTTGGTGATGGATGTGTAACAGTACAAAGACGGACTCACACATGTTTCATGGGCCAAACAAGTGCTCATATGTCCAATTCTAACATAGTGAGTGAGTTTAAGGGAATCTGTTATCAGACATGATGACTGAAACTGAACGACTGAAGGGAAATATGAAAACATCTTTAATGACTCAAGGAAATGTTAGATTTAATTGATCCCTGTAAAGAAATGTGAGCCATCCTCTTAAAAGAGCTTTGTTGGTGATGGAAAACATTTTATTTACACACAATAAGCCCCCTAGTATCAGAATATTACTGAATGCTAATACAATCCTAACCACGAAGTTATATGGATGGATGCTACCCTGACTTAAATGCATGTATTTATTTGAATGATGCTCTGTGTTACAAAGAGCACACAGTTTCTCATAATGGGTTCTGAGACATTACAATGAATTACATTTACTGCAATTAACTGCAGTCCTTCAAACACACATTGTGTTTTCAACATGAAAGTGCCTCCTCAAACCAAGCAGCGACAGAACCAGTCAGTGTGCACCTAAGATAAATGTTTTTAGCAGCTGACAAAATGTACCTTATTGATGATGTTTCCTTAAGAGACAATGCCATAACTGTGAAGATGGACGTGATCATGACATTTCCTCTTATTTGCAATGCAATAAAGCCCCTCAGGGACCTTTAACCCCAAACACAACAACGCAGCTAATCTGTGGGTGGCATGCATAGAGCATTCATCCAGCTGTGTTGTTGGTGAACATCAGATCCATTCTAGTTGCAAAACTATTTACTGATGCTGCCTACACTTGTTAGAGTAACATATGGCAACCGTTAAATGGTAATTTTTACAGGTTAAGTGTTTCAGTTTGAGTTGCATTGTTGGACTCAGTCTCAGGTTTCAGCTTCTAGCCACAGCTGAATGGGGCTCAAGCTGCACAAGTTAAATAAAAGGAGCCCTGTCTATAGCCATTCATGCAATAGATATACAGGTCAAAGTCAAACAGAAGCTAAATGTTTATATTGCGGCAGCTCTGGATTAAGTCAAATGAATTAATCAGTCATTCTTTATACGACTGAATAGGCACAGTGTCTCTGCAATCTTATTAAATAAATCTAAATTTACTGACTTTTCTACTGTTTGATTAGCACGATTACGATAACAACACTTTTTTACTGTCAGCTTTCTTGCAACCAGAGGAGCTGACCATTAGATAAAATGCACTCTCCTCTTTGGCTTCACTTTTCAGAACAAGTGGTTTCCCCCCATGTAAGACCATAACAATAATTGATCCTGCAGCTCACCTGACCGCCTGCTGGCCAGATCCTGCTGTGTTGCAGATGACAAGGAGAACCTTTGTGGAGCCGCCCTGGTTCAGGTATTCAGAGGAGAGGGTGCCAGAAGAAGGTAACCTCTGCCCGTCGGGTCCTGCATTGGAAGTGTAGGGGGAGGAGGGGAGGCTGTGGTGATACCCTGAGTGGAGCAGAGGGGGGGGGGGGTCGTTTAACAAAGGATGACAAACAACCTGGCATTAGCTGGAACAAGTAGAACAGGTGTTTTGAACAGTTTTAGTGAAGAACAACATTCCATCAGTACCAGTTTGGACCACAGTTTACACCTACGTTGTGTATACAAACAGGAAGTGGTACAATTGACCAAATCTGATCTTTTAAAAACAAGAAGTTGACTTTTATAATGTATAAATATTAATGCCAATGAACAGATTCCTATGAATGTGATGCCCAGACTAATCAGATCCATTATGTATATTTATACAAGGAAGAGTCTATATCACTAAGTTTAAGTGTAAGGGTTAATAAAAGGGTTTTAGTTGGCATAATTCATTGTTACACAGGTAGTGTTTTTCTTAAGACCTGGTAAGGTTACAAATATAAATTCAGTCAAAGAAATTGCTTGCAGAGAGCTGTAAATTTGTCACACGGTAAAAGCACTTCTTCTATTAAAATGTGACTCATGTCAAAAGCTTATTATATTCAGCTTGGAGGCAGGACTGAAATGGACCAAAGCTAGAAAACAGCTCTGGGTGTCAAAATGAGAAACTGCTATGCAAGGAGCAACATCTAAATATGACATGTTTACACTGTGATTCAGAAAACATTTTCAGAAAATGTCCATTAATATCAAACCGCCCTTTGATTCTTATTCACCCAGAGGAGCTGTACGAAGAATTACACTTGATCCCTCTCGCACACTTACACACATACATGCTGTGATTACTAGTGCATAATAGCTGTGGGGATACAGGAGGCCCCACCTCTTGTGTCCCAGTCAACATAAACGTTGACATTATCCAATTACATAATTAACCAATGCTTGTTCCACCTCTACTGTGCAATGAATCACTGCCACCTTCCAACCATACACACACACACAGACATACACACACTCAAATAAAGATGCAGGAAATCAAGTGTGAATAGATGTAAAGCTTAGATGTAACAGCGTCACGAAAGCAGACAGATTATTGAGACACACACACACACACACACACACACACACACACACACACACACACACACACACACACACACACACACACACACACACACACACACACACACACACACACACACACACACACACACACACACACACACACACACACACCTTACTTCTAGATACTAGAAAAAAAGATTGAGCTTAAACACTCAGACTTAAGTAAGTAAATAACATTTATGGTAAAAAATTAATAATATATAAATAGAAAAATACAACTGGCTTTCAAACCATCACATGAAATTAAAAAGGAAGCTTTGAGTAACGTTTTGTTCCAAACAGCTACACAGTGATGTGTTTCCTTCTCTGCAGACAGGAGCAACTTGATGTGACATTTTATGCATATTGCCTTGCCCTTTAGATGGCCAATTCATCTCCTCACTCTTTCTCTCAGTCAACCCTCCCTCTACCCTCTCTGTCTCCTTTGCCTCTCAGTTTTTCAATTGGGAGGCTGAAAAGTGAAAGACCATAAATGTTTAGTTTCAGCATTACTGTCTAACCATTAACACTCTAGTCCAACTAAACAATTATACAACTATAATTGACATTTTCAATTTTAGACATTTATCTAATTCTTGGTGTAAATAATCTGTCACTTTGTAATTATTTTAGTTTTTTTCTTAGTCTTTGTTTCCTGAGTTTGTGTTGGTTTGTGGTTATTTTGCCCCTTTTTATAGTCTTTGCAGCTGTTTGACATCTTTTATAGTTTTTGTCTATTTCTAAACTTTTTCTTTTTATCAATTTCTGTCTTTGAGTGACATTTTGCAGATGAAACGTTATCATAAAACAACCATGATTCCTTGATATCACGTTTATAATCAATGGATACTTTTAATTGTTACTTTTTAAAGGAAAGTTAATTCCGACATAATTATGCCAGAACATAACCATAAAAAAACACACATGGCATTAGCTCTTTAGTTGCTTTAAACCAATGACCTATATTGTCAGGCAATGCTTTGCAGTTAAGTTTACAACACATGTGAATCACCATTGAATCTTCATATAGTATATACAGCAAGGATAAAGGGTTGAATAGCAGTAAAAGGATCCAGCCCTATTATAAAAACACCAGTGGCTGGAAGTGACAGAAAATAATAAGATTGGCAAGGAGTGTGGTTCGTCCCACATGTCCCAGCGTCTGCTGGGAAATCCTCCTGCCAGACTTTCATTCTCACCTCTCCTTCCTCCCTCCCTGAGCCGGACAGAGGAGAGCCGCAGACAGAGGGAGATGTGAGTGGGGTGGAACAAGGCAGAGTGGATTAAAAAGGTGAGACTGTGAGGAGGATTTCTCCCAGGACCAAAAGAAAGTTGCTCATTTAAAAAAAGTAATTCCCAACAGTGAAGAACAAAATGTACAGAGACAAAGAAGAAGAGAAGCTGCATGTCCTTTCATAAACGTATTTATTTAAGGATAAATTAGCATGCAATTAAACCATTTGTTGTTGACGTGTTGTGACTGTCATGATCAGCCATTTTTAATTAAAAGATAAACATGAAGACTGAAGTGAATGCAAGTGAACTGAGAGGGAGAGAGATACAGAAAAGGCTCTTGAGATTGGAGGTGGTTAGTAAGGCAGCATTAATTAAACAGCTTAGCCCTGAAGAAGACACTACACCTCCTCTGGCGATCACTCTCCTCTCTTGTCTTCCCTTGCCTTCCTTTTGCTTTATCTTACTCCCCTCTCTCCCTGGTACTCCATTCATCATTTCCACTATCTGCTTCCTCCCCCCCGCCCCACTCTCCGCTAACTGGCTGTTTGGGATGAATCAGCCCTGAGCTTCAAAGCAGCGGTCAGCTCTAAAAGACGATTTTTGAGTGCTTTTCAAATTCATGGGATGGGTGCTGGAAGGATTTGTGTGCCTGGGAGGACATAGTATGCTGTTGTACACAGTATATTCTTATATCTAAACATAGTTAGGACTAAGTATTCACACAGACACATGCACAGCTTGCGTCTTTTCTATCTTCAGGACTTTTACAAATCAAAGACCCCTTAACTCCACACAGAATAACTGAATTTGTGTGTGAAGTGTGGGCAAAGCATCTGCTGACTGAGGCTGAGGCACCAGTGGTTCAGTATGACTTAAAGCTAATGATAACACATAAAGATAGTATTCACAATTAAGTTCCTCTGTAAAAAACGCTAGACGTTGAGTTTCTGCCTCAGTTAGAACCTTCGTTGGTCCGGCATCAATCTTATTGTAAGTATAATAGTATTGTAGGAAAGGTAATTCAACACTGGTGTTATTTTACCAAACTGTTGTGTAACACATCGTTACATAGTTGTGTAACAAATAAAAAGCTAAAATCTCAAGAGAGGATTTTGGCTTTCTGAGAATCACAATCCTTTCAAGTGGTCCAAGACCAAATGGGTGACCCCTATCTGTGCAAGCCACACACCAGGCTAAAAATACCCAGGGGGCTGTTGGGCTTTGCCCCGGGTGAATCAGAGTTCCCGACAGCAAACAGCCATCCGACCACAAAGCTCTCTGTCGGCAGCAAAACAGCTGAGCTTTCTGCCAACAGCCAAAATGACAGATTAGGGAGGTTGGGGAGGAACTCAAAACACCTGATGCCCTCGCTCCTTCTTCTTTTCTTTCTTTTTACCTCTCATATGTCTCTGGAATACACTGCATATCCCCTCTGCTCTTCTCTTTTTGTCATGAGAAGGCACAATATGCCAGCTGCTGAAGTTGCACCATTGACATTGTCCTTTGTATTTTGCACGAATCATGTCTTAAATATTAGTCCAGCAACACTACTGCAATGTTTTGTTGTTTATATCTGTGAAGAAACAAGATGAAAAATGGCAGATATACTTTGAGAGAATATATGTTGCAGCACGAAAATAAGTATGAACAGAAGAAAATGTCTATGTGTCCCAGCCTTGCTGCCTGTTGCTCTTAAACACAATTAAAGTTGTATCCCACTCATACTGCAGGTTTAGGTTTAACAGGGTTGTGGGCAGGTTTGTGATGTTCTCCATGAGGCAGCTGAGCCGAGGGTTGCTGTTATTTCCCCGATGATTTGTAAACACGTTCCAGAGGCAGTGGTGGTGATCAGAGCACCAAGTGTAGACTTTCTCTTCAGGTTATTTTCACTGATGAACCCTGCTGGAAGGCCTGTGAATGTTCCTGGCATATTTCTGCTTTCTGCACTGGGTTTGCTTTAGGCAACCTGTAATGGCCTTAATGGAACTGCACAGGATGTTTCCTTTGCGGGGTTTCATGTGCATGTGATGTCTTTGTCTCAGTTGAAGACGATATATATAGGAAAGCATCAAGAGCTCACACATTATAAGTCCTTGAGCTTCCAATGTTATGTTTCCTGCTGCAAGACAGCACATGATCACTTAAGAAACCGGTTTTAATGTTTAAATTGGATTTTTCTTTTCTATAATCCATAATGTATAGAATAAGAATGTGAAAAATATGCAACACTGTGAAAGAGTCACTTAAAGAAATGAATCTAAAGAGAATTAGCACCTCAATCTACATCTCTGCTCAGCTTTGTGGAACTTAGTGAGTTTTAGCTTAATGTTCAGCTTTGCTTTAGTTACATCTCAAAAAAGAAATCAAGCTACACTGTTGAGAACACTTTGCTATATTAACTTAAGAAAAATAAAAGCCTTGTTTTCTAAAGGTTTGACATGTAGACAGTGTGATTGTACGTATCATTTTCTTTCATTCCGTCAGAACATGTACAAAAGCCACAGAAAAGGAAACAAATTAAAATATATGAAATATATTCTATGTTTTTGCTAATATCCTGATATTAGCAAAAATCACAAGTCCAATACTTTAACACGCTGACATTATGAGGCTGTGGGAATTGATTTGTCTATTATAAATCACAATAGTGTGTGTATTTTCTCGTACAAAACTATTACCCGACTTTGAGTGGCTGATTGAATGATGTGACCACCTAGATAAACACCTAGTAATCCCTGACT